TGTTGATTTATTGTATCCCATTGGTTTTCTTCCCTGTCACTCCAACCTGTTGCTTGTATCCAAGTTCCCCCCACCCCTCTCCTTCCCTATATAAACCCTGTTTTTTTCTGCAGTTGAGTGTAGCTTCTGTGCTAGCCCCCTTTGCAGAGGGCCCTGCACCAATAAAGGCTGATTTCTCTGTGGAATCACTAGCTAGAGCTCTAGTCCTTTTATTCCCTGTGTCGCCTGGGAGAGAGCTGCTGCTGAGCTGGACACCGCTTGCCAGGCCAGGAGAGGGACGTGCCTGTGCCACTGAGAGCCGTCCTTCTCAGGACGCTTTTTCAGGAAGGTCGTGGCACCTTTGACATCCACCCCACTGTGGCAACTCTCAATATGATCCAAATTTGACCGCAGTGTGGTCCCAGCCACTGCCTGTATGAACCAGTTGCACCCAACATGGTTCCAGTTGCTCCCTTTCACCCTCACTTTTGTTCCAGGCAGTCCCACTCTCTCCCAGTGTACCCCAGTTCCCTCCAGCATATTCCCAGTCACCCCCAGTTCCATTCCCTGAGCATGATCCCATTTGCTCACAACCACTCCCAGTCAGCCTCAGTGTAGTCACACTCACTGCCAGTATGATCCCACTCACCTCCAGGATGACCCCAGTTCATCCCAGTATAAGCCCAGTTGCTCCCAGTCACCCTCTGCATGATTCCAGTCACTCCCAGTTCCTGCCAGTTGCTCCTAGCATGATCCCAGTTGCCCACAGCTGTTCCTAGTAACCCTCAGAATGATCCCAGACACTCCCAGTATATCCCATTTGCCCCCAACATGGTCTCAATTGCCCCCTGTAGGCTCCTATTCACTTCCAGTATGATCCCAGTATAAGTTAGTCCCTCCCAGTGATGCCACTCCTGGGATCCCCAGCTCCCTCTGCGTTCACCCCTCCTGGATCTCCCCAGAGGAGCCCCAAGGTATGGGAGTCCCCAGCCAGGGTCCCCAGCCAGCCCCAATTTGGATCTGCAGCCCCCAATTTTCACAGTTTCCCTTTCCTTTTCCCCAGGTAGGGTTCCCCCCACCCCCACTGGGTGGGAGCAGCCAAGAGCCTCGCGCTGCCCATCCCAACCTGTCCTGGAGGGATGAAGAGGAGGGATGAAGAAGCTCGATAAATGATGGAAGTAGGAGAAGGAGGTGGGATTAGGGACTGTGGGAAACAGTAAAAATAAGAAGACTCTCAGAAGCTGTGAAAATAGGCCTTAGAAAAGAAAAAGCAGAGAACTTAGACCTAGCTGCAGCTGCAAAGCCTGAAACTAAAGAAGATAGAAAAATACAACATGCAAGGAAACAATAGTTGAGATTTTAGGCTTGGCTAAGATAGATTTTAAGACTGCAGAAAAAATAGGTTTACTAAGATAGTAGAAGGTTTTAAGCTTAATAACAGAGTATTATGTACTGTTAAGAAAGCAAACAAGCAAGGATTGTTTGAAGCAGGTGTATGTGTGCTTTTAGTGATTGGTTAGAACAACTGTCCGTAAGTTTTAGCAATTTGCTATTGGCTGAAAAACTTATAAAATATTCTTTAACAAAGATATCTGAAGCTGCTGTGGGAGATGTAAGCTTGTGCCACCTCCTGTAGATGTAGCTGAGACTGGTGCCTGAATAAAGCTCATGACACGTCACCCGGTGGTCCTGTCCCCTTTGTAAAAAATTAACACCAACAAGGGAGGAGAAGGGATGGAAGAGGAAGAGTGGGAAGAAGAGGAGGGACAAAGAAAGATCAAGAAAAGGAGAAGGAAGAAGGAAGTTGAGAGCTCCCTGAATTCACAGTTCCCCCACCTGTGGGATCATTGCCCCTCCCATCTCGCAGGTGACGGGGGATGAAGAGCTTGGCCCAGATATCCTGGGGGGCCCATGGGCTGAGTTTTTTTTTTTTGAGGGGGGGTGTGATTTGAGATGAAGAGCTCCAAAGCTGAGCAGAAAATGGCTCTTGGAGGGACATTGGGGGGTCCCAGTGGCAGCTGCCAGCAGAGGCAGCCTGAAGGAGCAGAGCCCTGTGTTCCCCAGGACTCCAAAGTGGGGAGTCCAGAGTGGGACAGTGTCGTGATTCGCAGGATCCTCAACAGCCTGGAGAGAGGCAGGAGGGGACTCCTTTGACCCCCTGCACCCTGAAGCAGAGAATAAGGGGAGAAGGGACCCCAGGACCCCAAAAATCCCCAGCATCCCTAAGTGGAGAGACCAGAGGAGGGGGCTTTTTTGATTCCTGGGACTCCCAGCAGCCTGGGAAGTGACTAGACTGGGACTGAGTACATGGGGGACCCCAAGTACAAGCAGCAGCAAGCTGGGACAGGGGGGAACCCCTGAACACCAAAGGGGAGAGACCAGAAACAGGGAACACCTGGGAGGCATTTTCAAGGCTGAATCTTGGTGTTTAGGAGGTTTTTTTGGACCCCAGGTGCCCAGTGAATTCTAGAGATGGACTTGGGCAGAAGGACCTTCAAACTCAACGTGCTCATCCCTTGTTTTCCCCCCTAAACCAGGATTTCCCACTCCCAAGCCTTGGCCAGGTGGAGGAGGAGGCTGTGAGGAAGAGGAAGATGTTCCAGGAGCCCCAGGCAGGTGAGGAGGAAGCCACTACCCATTTCCCCCTCTCTCCTGCTTCGTCTCCAAGCCCAGCATGGCCCCCGGCTGCAGGACAATCCCGTTGCTGACGCCATCCTGCCGGGGATGCATTGGGGGGGATCTCCTTCCCCTTCCCTCTGGCATGGAGGCAAATCCCATCCTCTCCTTGTCCTTCCTCCCCCAGACAAGGAGCTGAGGATGGAGACCAGGGAGGTCAAATGCACGTGGCAGAATCTTGTGGAAGAGGCCATTTTGAGCAGCTCCATGGCACAAGAATCCAACAGAGATCCAGGGATTGCAGACATGACGAGGGTCTGCAAATGCAGTTCACAGGGCTCTAAGGAGGAAAGACCCACCCTGGACCACAGATGCAACCAGAGCTCAGAGATGGGGTCCATGAGCAACTTCACCATGGGGAGAAGCCCCAGAATTGCTCAAAATGTGGGACAAGCTCCCACATCATTCACCACATGACAATCCACACAGGGGGTTGGACCAATGAGTGTGGAGAGAACTTCAGGTCGAGCTCTGACTTGATTGTCCACCTGAGGAGCCAGACTGGGGAGAGACCTTGTGAGTGTCCCGAGTGTGAGAAGAACTTCTCACAGAGCTCAGCCTTGACCAAACACCAATGGAGGCACCCAAAAGGGAAGCCCTGCCAGTGCCCTGAGTGCAGGAAGAGTTTTGTGCGCTGCTCCATCTCCATCCCCCATCGGGGAATCTGTGCTGGATGATCCCCAGTGACACCTGGTGGGCAGAGCCCCAGTGATCCATGTTGGGAAGACACCTGGCTGGGGGGCTCCACATCCTCCTGGCTCCCCCTGGGCACATCCAGAGACCAATGTCAGAAATCCATCATGGAGAGCAGATTTGTCGACTTCTGACCCCAGAAAAATATCACTTTTTGCTTCTTCTGATGGCATCAAGCAACACTGGTTTGCTTTGGAGGTCTTCTCCAACATAAATCCATCCTTTTAATTCTCTCAGGCCCATGGGCATCTTTCATAGCCAATTGGGAACAGATTGTGGCAAAACCCTCAATTTTGGAAACACTGGGGTTGAAATCCCTCCAAAATAGTTCTTCCCACCCACCCAAGCACTTGGTTGTTCATCTGGCAGGGACACATAAATCCATTTGTTTTGGTCTTTGTTTTCTTCTTGTTTCTGTTCATTGTTGCTGTGGGCGAGGATGCCACAACCTTCCCAGGGAAGCATCTGTAATGGAACACCCCTTGGGCACACAGGCATGTGTGCCTTGCCCCAGTGATTTCAGCTCTAGACTTGAAAAGGGCTATTTGGTGGCCACAGGTCCTCAGGGACTCTGAAGAAAGGGGCAGGAGTCCTTGGATGGGGTTCCACAAGAAGCCTTTATTCTCTTCCTCACAAAGGGGTCCAAGGACAAAGACTGACCCTGGGCTCTGGGAGAGCCAGGATTATATAGGGATGCTAGGGGGCAGGGTAGAACAACAGGGCCAATGGTCTGAGGGCACAGGGGTGGAGCAAGGGGGAAGGGCAAATAAGATACAAATTATATGCATACAGGGGAAAGGCACATTGGGGGAAACTTAACAACTCACCATGACAAAAAAGCTCTCAACCAAGAGCCTCCCCCTGGGGGGCGTGTGGCTAACTCAAGCCTATGGGCTCTCTTTCCAGGGCAGAGTGGCTACACTATTAGTCGCCTTGCTGGCCTCCACAGTTTATCCCTTCAAAATCTCTGCAATTGGGGTAAAAATAAAGATTTTCAACTAAGGTTTAAATGAGAACATGTGGGAGACAATGACATAGGTATGGACATGGAAATAAATAGGGATGTGGCCATGGATGGGGACCTGGGGGGAAACGGATATGGGTAGAATACGGACATGGGGGGATGTGAAAATGGATAGGGGCTTTGGGGGGACAGTGACATGAGTAGGGAGGGACATGGACATGGATGGGGTCACAAACTGGGGCAGCATCAATGCCATCACCTGCGCCACCACAAGTGCCACCAGCACCTTCATCTCAGCAATAGCAAGCACTGCCTGATGCAGTTCCTGCTACCATATCCCCACTGTCACCACCGCGGTGTCCCAGCTGAATGCCACCACTCACCAGGGCGAGACGGGGAACTTGTTCAGCTGATGACAAGTGTCCCAGAAGTGAGTGACAGCCACCAGGGTGTGCCAGGGCCACTGAGCTCAGGGGACCCCAACCACCCATGGGGACAGGGCAAGAGTCAGTGTCACACGCAAGGTCACATGGCCTGGTGGCAGCATCCCCATAGGTATGGCAACATTGTCCCCTGATGTGTGTCCTGGTGGCATCATGTTCCCTCCCCTCCCTGTGTCTCCCTGTCCTCCCCCTGTGTCTGTGTCCCTCCTCCTACGTCCCTGTACCCCGCCCCCAGTGGGGCCAAAGTCCCAGGCCATGTCCTGCAGGAGGTCCCCCTGCTCCACAGTGTGTCTCTGTGTCCCACAGCGTGTCTCTGTGTCCTTCAAGGTGTCCCCGTGTCCCTCAGGATGTTCCTGTGGCTACTCCTGGCACTGAGTGTCTGCGCTGGCCCCGGCACAGGTAGGGACATGCCACGACACCCTGGGACACCCCATGACGATGCACAACACCCTTTGTCCTCTGATTTTGGGTCCTTTTCCCCCTGTATTAGGTCCCTTCTCCCCATTTTGGGTCCTTTCCCATCTTTTGGATTTCTTCTCCCTATTTTGTGTCTTCCCCTCCCTATTCTGGGTCCTTTCCCCTCTGGTTTTGGATCCTTTCCCCCTATTCTGAGTCCCTTCTACCCTATTTTGGATTCTTTTCCCCCTCTTTTGGGTCTTCCCCCCACTTATTTTGATTCCTTTCCCCTTATTTTGGGTCGTTTTCCCCCTCGTTTGAACCCTTTCCCCCTATTTTGGGTCCCTTCCCCCTCTTTTGGATCTTTTCCCCACTTTTCCATCCTTTCCCCCAATTTTGGATGCCCTCCTCTTGCTTTTGGCACATTTTTGGGTGCCTTCCCTTCTTCCAACTCCCTCTTCACCCCTTAACCCTCCTCACTTCCCACCCCCCGTGCCCCAGCTGTGTCCCCAGCTGTTCCCCCGCGCCACATGGACTCGGTACTCGCCATCCTGGACGTCCTCGAGTCCCCAGCCCAGGGGGGTTCCCCTGGCACTGCCACGGCCTTGGGGAGGCAGCTGGGAGTCTGCAGCACCCCGGGGTGCCGGGCAGTGCTGGGCGAGCCCGCCGGGACTCCCGAACGCCCTCCGGCTCTCACCCCGGGCCAGTGGCAGCTCCTGACCGAGCTCCTCCACCAAGACCCGGCGACTCCGGAGCTGGGGGCGGTGCTGGCCCCTGACGGTTCTACGGTGGCCCTCGGTCCCCTCCTGGCCGGCATCGAGGCGGGGCTGAGATCTGGCGGCTTTGGGCGACCCCTCCCCACCCTCAACCCACCCACCGACCCCCTCTTGGCTGTCACCATCGCTGAGGCTTTGGGGACATCCTTCCTGCTGGCACAGGGGGGTGACAACAACAGCATCACGTTGGGACCCGATGGCTGCTGGGACGACGTGGAGAACCCCCAAAATTACACCTTGAGGGGTCCCCTGTCCCCTGTCCCCGACCCCGTGGCCATCGGGGCCATGGATGGGGTACTCCTGGGGGCGCGGCTGGCCCAGGGACCCCTCCCACTGGCTGAGCTGCTCCAGGGCTACTATGGGACCGGGAATGGCTCAGAAGAGGGGAGACCCCCCAGCAGTTACCGGCGCCGGGATTTTGGAGCTCTAGCGGGACAGGGACGGCTGGAGAAGGAGGTGGCGGCAATTTTGGGGGTGCTGAGGACCCTGTCGCCCAGCCTGGAGCTCCTGAGGGACGTGGGGACAAAGGAGGTGGCAGCTGTGGCTCGTCGGGCAGCACAGGAGTTCATCGAGCGCTACGTGGGTACGGGCAGGGTGGCACCTCCTAAATGGGGGTGTCACCCCTCAAATTAGGGTTGTCACCTCCCAAATGGTGGTTGTTAAACCTAAACAGGGCTAAATGGTCACCTCCCATACAGGGATTGTCACCCCTTAAGCGGAGGTGTAACCACCTAAACAGGGTGGTCACCCCCTAAACAGGGATTGTCACCATGCAAATGGGCATTGTTGCGCCCCAGAGTTGTCACCCCCTAAACAGGGTTTGTCACCCACCAGACAGGGATTGTCACTCCCTATGTGCCCACAAGGCCTCTACCATGTCCCCATCAAGCTTCATTTCCCCAGATGGCTTCTGCCATGTCCGCAGTGCCTCAGGAGACATATCCAGCCATATCCCCACATGGTCACCACCACATCCCCAACGTGCCCCTTGTCCCCATGTGAACTCTACCATGTCCCCATCAAGCCCCATGTCCCCACGTGGCCTCTACCATATCCCCAAGGGCTTGTCAAGTCCCTCATCCCCTCTACCATGTCCCCAAGGAGCTCCTTGTCCCCATATGGTCTCTGCCACGTCCCCAAGGGCCCATCAAGCTCCTTGTCCCCATGCAGACTCTACTGTATCCCCATCAAGTTCCTTGTCCCCTGGTGGACTCTACCATGTCACCAAGGAGTCCCATGTCCCCATGTGATCACCACCATTTCCCCCAAGGGCCCATCAAGCCCCTTGTCCCCATGTGGGCATGTGTCTGCCATGCCCCCATCAAGCCCCATGTCCCTTTCACACAAGGCTTTTCCCATGTCTCCAAGATCTCAGCACCTCCACCCTGTTGTCCCTGCAGAGTGCCCAGCCATCATGCCCCGCTGCCTGTGGGATGCCCGTCCCTACCGGGGCACCCCAGCCCTGCTGCAGCCCCCGTTGGGCTTGGTGTTCCTGCACCACACCCTGGAGCCAGCACAGCCCTGCCGGACCTTCAGCGCTTGCGCCCGCGCCATGAGGGACATGCAGCGCTTCCACCAGGACATTCGTGGCTGGGACGACATCGGCTACAGGTCACTGTTACCCCTCTGGGGCAATGGCACCCACCACAGACTCTGTCAGCCCTTGTGGGGTGGTCACTGTACCCCTTTGGGGTCTGTCACCCCCACTGGTTCCTGTCACTGCCTATAGGCCACGTCATCCCCTGTGGTTCCCATCATCTCCTTCAGCCCCTGTCAGCCACCACAGTCCCTGTCACCTCCATGGGCCCTGACATTGTACCCCTGTGGGCACTGCCACCCCCCCAGTTCCTGTCACCCCCCATGAGGTCTGTCATTGTCTCCTCATGGTCCCTATCAACCCCCATGGTCCCCATCACTGTGCCCTTGTGGTCTCCACCACTGTTCCCCCATGGCCCCCACCATTGTCCCCCTGTAGTCCCCACTATTGTCCCCTCACAGATCCCACCACTGTCCTCTCATGGTCCCCATCACTGTCCCCACCATGGTCCTCACCAGTCCCCTTGCTGTCCCCATCACTGTCCCCCTGCAGTCCCCATCCCTGTCCCCCCCCACAATCCCCATCCCTGTCCCTACACTGTCTTCATAACCGCTCACAGTCCCCATCCCATTCCTGCCCCCCCACTTTCCCAATCCCTGTTCCCCTTCTCCCCACCTAAGCCCGCACAGCACCCACCACTGTCCCCACATTGTCCCCACCGCTGTCCCCCTTCAATCCCCATCCCTGTCTCTTTGCAGTTCCCATCACTGTGCCCTCACTGTCCCCATTGTGTCCTCACAGCCTCGTGGTGGGCTCGGACGGGTACTTGTATGAGGGCCGGGGGTGGCACTGGGTGGGTGCCCACACCAAGGGCTACAATACCCAAGGCTTTGGAGTTGGCATCATTGGGGACTTCACGGCCACCCTGCCGGACACTGACACACTCACCCTGGTGCGAGATGAGCTCCTGCCTTGTGCCGTCCGCTCTGGCCACATCCGGCCGGACTTTACCCTGCATGGCCACCGCCAGCTCGGCCACACCGACTGCCCCGGCAATGCCCTCTTCCAGGAGATCCAGAGCTGGCCTGGCTTCCAGGGGACACCGGTGGCACTGGGGCTCAGGGTGGGTGGTCTGATGGGGTTGCTGGGAGGGCATTTGGGGTCATCTTGGGACTGACTATGGGTCTTGTCCACTCTGCAGTGAGGAGTGGCCCTGGCTGGAGAGCCTGGGCTGGACAGGGGCAGGAGAAGTTGGACACTGGTCCAGATGGACACCAGACCATGGATCCCACTCTGGATGGACACTGGTCCAGATGGACATTAGAGCCATGGATCCCAGCTGTACTCTGGTCTGGATGGCCCCTGGCCCTGCAGCCCACCAGCTTGGCCAGCCCCAGACCAGATGACCACCAACCTGGACATACCATGGCCCATCCTACTGGCCCACCAGCCCATCCCAGTAGCCCCCACCCCAAAATAAACCTAATTGCAGAACATTGGCTACAGAGTGAGGGAAATTGAGGAAGGGGCTGGGGGGGGTGATTTTGCAGTGATGGGAGGGGACTTCAGGACCCATCCTGGAGACCCCAAAGCCTGCGTGCCTCCCCCCCCCCACAAAGGAGAATCCACTCCCCATATTGTTCCCGCAGCATCCTCGGTCCCCCAGCTGTCATTTTGGAGGGACTCCAGGAGCCACTGTGATCCCCCCAGTCTCTTCAAGGGGTGACCCATGGTGTCCCTCTGGTGTCACTGGTGCATCCCCAGTGGAATTACCTCCTGGGGCATAGGTGGGGGAGGAGGTAAGGGTGGTGGGGGGAACCCAAAAATGTTGTCACCACCCCCCTCCTGTAAGATGTGGGCCATCCCCTGCTTTGGGGAGCTGGTGACAAACTGGTGGGTGGTGGTGTCAAAAAGCGCAGGTGTCACCTCAGGAACATCACAGAGAAGGGGTCCTGTGGTGCCACCAAGCCCCCCCTCTGAGCAGGTGTCAAAGGGAGGGTGAATTGGGGTCCCAGGGTGCAGGCAGGGTGTAGGGGAAGTTTGGACGGAAATGCCTCCAGTCCTGCCTACGCCCGGGGCACTTGTCCCCCTGTCCCCTTGTTCCCAGCAGGGGTCGGGGCTGTGAGGGCACACACTGGATGAGGACCCCTGGGTGGGCAGAACCCAAAAAACTGGGACCCCTGGGTGGCCAAGGACACCTCAGGGATTTGGGACCTCACATATTGGGACCCTTCAAAGTGGGGATGCCAGGTTGTGGGTGCCCCTCCACCTCCAAATCCAGTCCCTGGACCCCCACAAATTATTCTCCTCATCCCATCATTCCCAAATTCAGCCTCCAAAATGCCTCTCCTGTCCCACCAACCCCAAATCCAGCCCAAAATGCTTCTCCCCATCCCATCACCCCCAAATCCAGCCCTGGAGCCCCCAAAATTATTCTCCCCATCTGATCAGTCACAAATTCAACCCCCAAAATGATTCTCCCAATCCTACCAACCCCAAATCTAGCCCATGGACTACCCAAAGTGACTCTCCTCATCCCACCACCCCCCAAATCCAACTCCCAAAATTACTCCCCCCCAAATTAACTGCCCTCAAACCCATGGATCCCCCCAAATGATTCTCCCCTTCCCACCACCCTCTAAATCCGCCCTCTGAAGCCCCTAAAACTGACTCTCCCCCACCACACATGGAGCCCAGCCACCCCCGAGCTCCCCACCCTACTGAAGACCTACAAGTGGTGCACCGGAGGGGACCCCAAAAGGAGCGGGGTGTCCCCAGGGAGCCAGTGCTGGACATGGCTGCAGGGCTGGTAACGCTCCAACAGCCACCCCGACACCGATGGCGACAAGGGTGGTGACAGAGGTGTCCCCAAGGCCAGTGAGCACTGGTCGCTGTTCCAGATGGTGTTTTCTGCCCCCTCCAAGGTGCCCAAGGAGCTGTAGGGACCCAAGGGGACATGAGGCCACCCCTGCAGCAGTACCTGCACCACTGGGCAGGAGGAGGGGACATGGCGACAGCAGAGCCAGGGCAGAGCTGGGGATGCAGGAAGGGGCAGGTGAGTGGGGCATGGAGTGGGGGGTGAGTGGTTATGGGGTGGGGTGTGGATTTTGGGGTGATTATGGGCGGGGGAGTGATGACATTTGGGGTGATGATGGTGGGGGGTTCTGGGGATGGTTAAGGGGTTGATGGGTTATGGGGTGATAGGTGCAGGTGATGAAGATGGGTGGGGGGTGGTGAATTCTGGGGTGATTATGATGGGTTGGGGGATTATGGGGACAGTTTGTAGGGTGATGGGTGGGAGCTGATGAATTTTGGGGTGACAATGATGATGGGGGATGATATGTTATGGGGTGATGGGTGGGCAGTGATGAACTTTGGGGTTATGATGATGGGTGGAAGGTGATGGGGATGGTTTGGGGGCTGATGAGTTATACGGTGAATTTTAAATTACGAAAATGTTAAAAGTTGTATCATTTCCAACAGGGAGACCCCCCCACACCCCCAGCCCCATTCCTCCTCCGGTTGGGCACAGAGCTGCTAAGACACAGGGGGGGTGGGGGAATGGTCTTGATGCCTCCCTCCACCCCACGCAAAAGTTATGGGGCAGTTTGAAGCCGTTTTAGGGGTAAACATGGGCTGGTTTGGGAAGGGCAGAGGGACAATTTGGGGGGCTTTTTGGGGTGTTGCTGTGTCCCCCCTTGTCCCAAATTTCCCCTTCCTTTGGCAATCCCAAGGAGATGCTTTAATATTCTGTGGTCTGAGAAGATGGTGCTTGGATCTGGAGCTTGCTCCTCACACTCCAGGTCTGGTCCCGGTATGGAAGTGACTGTAGGAATGGAGCACCCCACCATGGGACATTTGTGGGTCAACTCCAGACACAAAGAGTGGTAAACTGAAGGCACTGCTATGCAGGCAGTGCCACCTTTCAGAACATAGAAACCCAAAATGTTTTCATGGGGATCTCAAGCTGCAAAGCAGGCAGCTGGTGTCTGCTTCTCTCCCAGGAGCCAGGAACTGCCCTTCGTGGTTTAGCACATGGCACTTCCCCCAGTGGTTTTCAGTGACTAATGAACTGGAAGGATGCACAAGGATCATCAAGTCCATCTGCTGGCTCTGCACAGGACACCCCAACAATCCCAGGATTGTTTGTTTCAGGAACAGTCTGTTCCTGAAAGCACTGTCCAAATGCTCCTGGAGCTCTGGCAGTCTTGGGGCAATGACCGTTCCCATGGGAGCCACTCAGTGCCCAATCACTCTCTGGGCAAAGAATCTTCCTGATCTCCAGCCTGACTCTGCCCTGGCACAGCTTCAAGCCATCCACTCAGGTCTTGTCATGGGTCAGCAGAGCTCAGAGATTGGTGCCTGCCCTACCACTGCCCCTCAGGAGGAAGCTGAAGGCTGCTATGAGGTGTCCTGCAAGTTCCTTCAGCCGTCTTAAACTTCCTATGGTTGATGATTGCCCATCTCTTGGATTTGTTAAGGTCTCTGCCCTTGAGGGAGTCAGCACCTCCTTCCAATTTAGCGTTGCCTGCAAACTCTACTTACTGTTCCTTCAAGTCCAGTATGTGCAGCCCCTCCTCATGCAGGATCTCCCGGGCTTTTCCTCCCCGCTGGATTCCTGAGCTGTGGAGCTGCTCAAAATGGCCTCTTCCACGAGGTTCTGCTGCAAGGATTTGTCCTCCCTGTTCTCTGTCCTCAGCTCCTTGTCTGGGGAAGGAAGGACAAGGACAGGATGCGATTTGCCTCCGTGCCAGAGGGAAGGGGAAGGAGATCCCCGCAGTGCATCCCTGTCACCCTGAAAACTCAGCTTCTGAGCTTGCTAACATAGTTTTCTAAAGACTTTCCCAGAACAGTAATTGTAAACATAGAGATGTGTACATTCCTTCTGTTACGTGTCTTGTGATGGACATCTCTCACAGCCAGTGCAATTGGGAAAGTGTTATCCTGACCATCCAATCCCTAGCCATGTATCAGAAACCTATAAATCCTGGGAGAAGAAATAAACTCTCTCTTCCTTTCACCACACCTCGAGCTGTGTCCATTTGACCTATTCATCTCCAGCAGCAATACATCCCCAGCAGGACAGTGTTGGCAGCAGGGTTGTCCTGCAGCCGGAGACCATGCTGGGCTGGGAGATGGAGCAGGAGAGAGGGGGAAAGGGGCAGTGGCTTCCTCCTCACCTGTCTCAGTGTCCTGGGCATCTTCCTCTTCCTCGTAGCCTCCTCCTCCATCTGGCTAAACTTTGGGAACTGGAATTCCTGTTTTGGGGGAAAAACAAGGTGTGAGCATGTTGGCTTGGATATTCCTCCTGCCCAGTCCACCTCTGGAAGTCACCAGCTGTCTGGTGTCCATAAAAACCTCCAGACCAACAAGATTCAGCCACCCTCAAAAAAACCCAAACCACCTGTCACATATAGATAAAACCTTATAAAAGAAAGGCCTTGTAAAATCATGGTTCAGGCCTTGTTACTTCAGCTGAGTGTAGCTAGCAGCTAGCCTGATAAGTTCCCTTGCAAAAACATCTTGAGAATGAAAAGTTGGTTAACATAACAAACTATTATTGGGGATAGAAACAAGTGCACCTGTAACAACAAGGGGTCTGTTCCATGAGAATCAGTAGAAAAAGTATGTAAACACTGTTAGAGAGAAAAGTTTTGATTGACATGTACACTCATCATTACCAACCAGTGAACTGAGTTCCTAACCAACTGGAACTGAACACAGTGCCTTCTGATAACCATATAAATATAAGATGTGTGCAATAAAGATTGGAAGAAGAAACAGGTGTCATTGTCTGTCTCTACTACAAGAACCACCAAGTTTCTGCAAAAACCATCCACCCAGTGAAACAAGGGGGTTTAGGAGTTAAAAGCAAACCTGGTTAAAAGTTAGCTGACAAGACATTAAGGAATGCTGAAAATTTTCTGTGTGTGCAGAGACAGGATGAGAGCACAGCTGTACTAAGACAGGAGCCAGGGCTCGAAAACAAGATGAGAGAACAAGGCTACTTGCATTAAGAGACCCCTGACCCAGCAAGGACTAATCTCGAGGTCTGGAATGTGACCAAGGGACTAAGGCGTATGCTCCGGAGACAAAGGTGAAAAGTTCAGATGCGAGGAGGAGTTTGAAAATCTTCATCAGGGACCACCGAAGACCCCCGAATTGAGGAGCAGCAGGCGTAGAGAAGCCTGGAGCTCATTAGCATACGAAGCGAGTCTAGGCGGGGCTAAGGAATGAATATGTGTTAGGCGCATTGTGTAATCCTAGACCGTATGAATAAAAGAAAGCCGATCCTTACTCCCGGGCCATATGCCTTTGGAAATAATTACGCCTATGTCCACCGGCTAAAATACGTATCTACTTTCAGACGAGCTGTGGAATCTTTTCCGCTCTTCACCAGAAGATCCCCCTCTCTGGCCTCTCCACTTTGGGGCTCAGGGGGTCCCTCTTATCTGGGCTTCTGCAGCTCCAGTGTGTAGTGGTATCCCCTCTCTCTGGGCTGCTGGGGCTCCTGGGAATCCCAGAGGCTCCCCTTCTCTGGGTGTCAGAGGGGCTTCAGGGGTACTGCCTGTCCGGCGTCCCCGTTTCAGGGCTCCGGGGCACCCATGGCTCTCTCTCTTGTCCATGGTCCCAACATCTCCAGGCTGCTGGCGTTCCCCCTATCCGGGCTCCACGTTCCAGGGTGCCGGGGGTCCCCCTTATCGGGACGCCTGCCCCCCACAGGCTGTAGAGGGTCCCCCAGCTCCGGTACCGCCCTTCTCCGCCCTCCCAATCCCCACCCCGCCGGTGCCGGGTGATTGCCACGTGGCTCTGTCCTGACAATGCAGCGCCTGAGTCGGGCAGCCCAACCCCCACCGCGGGAGGGTCCCACGCATCCTCCGGCCCGGCGCTGGGGCTCTGCTGGTAGCCAGCACCGGAACTCCCCAAAATTCTGCCGTCTCGGAGCCTCCGGACGGGAGCTCGGCCCTTGGCCCCGAGCACAGAGCTCTGCCCTGAGGCTCGTGAGGAGAGACGGCGACGCTCGGCAACCACGGGAATTGCCCCTCATTGGGACAAAATCCGGCTCCAAAGGAGCTATTTGGAACGCCCGCCTCCGGCTCCTCCCTGCCCCAAATATGCCGGCAGCTGCCCCGCTGTCACGCGCGGGATTTTGGAGCAGGGAGGCTCTGCGGGCCCCCTCGGGCAGTGCCCCCTCCCTCCGAGTTCGTGCCCGCCCCAATGCTGATGTTTAGCCCGGCTCTCTCGCTCTTCCCGGCTCCCGCCCGGCGCCGCAGGGCCCCGAGCCCCTGCTCAGCAAAGGGTCAGTGTCCATTGCCAGCCCCTTGCCGGGGGCTCCGGCCATTACCCCACCCCTCATCTCATGGAGTACTTTCATATTAGGTAACTGCTCTTATTTTTCATATCAGGGCACTACTCTTGTTTTTAGCTTGGGTTTTGGATTTACTTGTGTTTTAAAAACTTATTTTCATAATTTTAGGGACTTCGAAAGTTTATTGAATTCCTGATACAGATCAGGTGGGGTAATGTTACCAGTTCATCCCTTTTACCAGATCCTGCTAGTGTCATGATCACATAGATGTATATGGTTACAATTACTGCTGTTAGTGGGGCTAGTTGTGGTAGTAAAACTATGTGTATTTGTATGTGTACTTAAAAGATCATGGTCTAATTGGTTTCATATGTTAGTGTAATCTAGATTGCACTGTGCTGGAATGCAGCTCCCACTACTGCTCCCTCCAGCCAGCCACTGCGGGTTGCGCAACGAGGCAGAATATTAATTTCATTGAATCCTTGTTATTTCTGCTCAGATGTGCAAAACCAGCTGCTGCTGAGACAATCCCATCTCAGACTGAAGCGGTCCCACCCAAAATCCTACATTCAGTTCTGACACACCATTAAGAAATCTAACAGCAAAGCAGAAAGCCGATTACAGAATCTTGCAAAATCAAATATTCACAAATATTAAGAGAAACTGAGAAAGTCAACAATGTTAGATGTTGGAGTCTGAGATACAGAGTGTGTGCCCTTGTTTCTAATACTTAGTTCTAGGATCCAGAAAAAACACTGAATTTCATGTAACAGGAAATTCATGAGCATGTTTTCATGGTGAGACATGAAAACAAATGTTAGATAGAAAAAGCTAGAAGTGTAAGTGTGTAGATCAGAAAGTTTTTTTAAATCACTGGGTGAAAAAGTTATTTTAGAGAACAGGAGACAAGATGGAGGATTTAGATTGTTGTCTCTTCTTCATGTTCTTCATGGAGTTTTTGGGTGGTACTAAGTGATTGGATAAAAGATGTCAGAGTGCAGCACACAGGTGTTGGGTGATTGGGTCACTAAGAAAAATAATTTAGTTGGCATCTGTTAATTGGGTAAATGGGTAAAAGACCTTGAAAAGAATCTTTGTTAGCCATTTTACCCCTTTCTATCATAGTGCACATGGCTCCTTGTACCTTGTAATGTTGATAAGAAAATAATAAACTACTGAGACCAAACAAGAGAAAATAGCCTCCCTCTCATCAATCTCCAGTTCAAGGGGAAAAAGAACCTAACCCAAAAGTCCTTAACGAGACAACTAGAAAACAAGCTTCCAACACGGAGACTAGAAGAGCAAAGGCAGTGCATTTGATTGGAATAAGCCCTCTCTGTCTGACATGTAAGCAATGCCATCAAATTTCCCAAACCAGGGAAATATGGAGCCCTGGCAGCAGTGGCTTCACATACAGCAATGATACAGAACAGGGCAGGGCAAGAGGCTGATAAAATTAAAATTTCTACTTGCAATCAAGAACTTTTCAGTTCTACTATAGCCACTATTGAGTCAAAAAGACTAAAACTACTAGTAATAACTGTAATATTACTAACAAAAATAGAAGTAATACCTATAATAGTAATAATCAATAATTGTAATAAAAAACCTACCATACTTATTCTAGGTTTCCCTTGCCAGGTTTTGGTAAAGGGGGACTCTAGGAGCACCTTCAGTGACAGGCTGCTTGAAGCAGCTGCTCCTCCATGTCCTTCTGAGTCAACGCCAGCCGGCTTCAAGACAGACCAGCCACTGGCCAAGGCTGGGCCAGTTAGAAATGGTGGTAATGCCTTTGGGATAACAGATTTCGGCGTATCAGTTATTGTGGAGTTGTAACTATGATCAGGGAAGAGCAGGGTGAGAACATGTGAGAGGAATAATTCTGCACACACCCAGGGCAGGGCAGGAGAAGGGGCAGGAGCTGCTCCAGGTGCTACAGCTGATTGCCCTGAGATTCCATAGTGCAGTCTGTGGTGAGGCAGCTGGGCCCCTGCAGCCCATGAAGGGCACAGCGTGCAGAGATGCACCTGCAGCGCCTGGAGGATGTTGTGCCAAAGCACGGGGATGCCTGAGCTGAGGCTGTGACCCCATGAGAAATCTGGGCTGGAGCAGGAACCTGACAGTGACCTACAAACCTGTGGAGAGAGGGGCCCACCCTGGAGAAGGGTTCTGGTAGGACGTGTGAGCCCATGGAGGAGTAACCCAGGTTGCAGCAGGTTGGGAAGAACTGCTGTCCATGAGATGAACTCACCTTGGAGAAGTTCATGGAGAACCATCTCCAAGAGGGACCCCTGGCACAACAGGGGAACAACTCCTATCCCCGAGCTGCAGGAGAAACAACGTGTGATGAACTGACCAGAACCCCTATTCCCTGTGTTCCTGCACCCACTGGGGCAGGAGGCAGAGCTGGGAAGGAGGGAGGGATGAGCAGAAGGTGTTTTTAAAGCTTTATTTAACTTCTCATTATCCTGCTTTGATTTTGATAGCAATAAATTCAATTAATATCACTAATTTCAAACCTGTTTTTCCTATGATGGCATTTGCTGAGTGATCTGTCCCAGTCCTTATCTCAACCCATGAAGCCCTCATTCTATTTCCTCTCTCCTGTCCATCTCTGGAGGGGAGTGAGAGAGCAGATTTGGTGGGTGCCCGGCATCCAGCCAGGGTCAACTGACAACGCATCCTTTCTTTCATTCTTTCCAAAGTTCACAGTGAAGAGACTGAGTGGGACTTTGATGGATGGAGTGAAGGAGGTCAGGAGTAGTGGGGACAGGAGCCACAGGGATCTGGGACAGGCATCAGAGGGGTCCAGGCAGCTGGCATGGGGTACGGCCTGTCCCCATGGCCTAGCAGCAGCTGCATGCCCTGCCGAAGGTGTTCCCACCAGGGGCTGTGCCCCAGAGACAGGGGGAGACCCCAGTCCTGGGGGCAGCGTTTCTGCCCTGACCCACATCCAGCCCAGCCTCTTCCATGTGCACAGTGACTGCTGGTATGGGCTGCACTGGACAGCGTGACCTGCTGGGGACATTGAGAGCTGCCCCCGGTGTGACACTGCCCTTGGGATTTCATAGGCACCAAAAAAATCACAGCCAGCCCTGCTCCTTGTGATGTCACCGGCCCTTTGAGTGTCTCAAGGATGGGAAGAGCTTCACCCAGAGGTCAGCCTTGAGCAAACACCAATTGAGGCACCACTAAGGGAAGCCCTGTGAGTGCCCTCAGTGGATAGGGGGCTCCACATCCTCCTGGCTCCCCGTGGCCTGGATTTTCTTTTCATTTCTCTTTGTCTTTTCGAAACACCCAAAACCAGGGTAAAAATAAAGATGTTGAACTAAAACATGGGACGATCGTCCAAGGGATCTGGGAGATGCGGGGTTCAGCGGTGTTGAGGGTTCCTGGGAGGGACTTGGGGGTTGCTCAGGGCTTTGGGGACCCCAAGCTGAGTGACTCCGGCTACGCTTGGGAGACCCTGGTGGAGGTTCTGGGGCAGCTGATCAAGGACCTCCTGCCCTGGAACTGTTCCCATGTCCCCCCATTCCGACCCCTTGTGTCCCCTGTAGCGGACGCCCCTCTCCCCGCTGTCACGCCCCCGGCCCCGCCCGTTTCCGTGTCCCCCCTACCCCCGTCCCGTCCTGCTCCCATCCCAGTCCGGACTCCATTCCTGGTTCCATTCCCGTATTCCCGGTTCCTGTCTCGGTCCCCATTCCCCATCCCATTCCCGGTCCCTGCCCCCTCTCACCGGACGCCGCCGCCATCGCTCCAACTCCCCCCGCCCTCACGTGACCAGGGAAACACCGCGCTCCGCCTGCCCACCAATCACAGCGCGCGATCGCTCCTGACCACGCCCTTTTGTTTAGCCCCGCCCACCGCCGGTGTAGCTGTGTCCCGGCGCTGTTTCCTCCCAGTTCCCTCCAGTGCTCCCAGTAAGAGCCGTACTGGGAGGGAAAGCGCTCCCAGTTCCTCCCCGGTGCTCCCAGTATCGTTCCCAGTGCCGCGCGAGGCGGGGCCGCATTGGGAGACACCCCAGGGCAAAGCGCGGCTGCTTTTGGGTGTCGGCACCTGCCCGGCCCGGGCTGGGAGCGGAGGAGGAGCGGAGGAAGAGGAGGAACAGGAAGAGGAGGAAGAGAAGGAACAGGAAGAGGAGGAAGAGAAGGAACAGAAGGAAGAGAAGCAGCGGGAGGAGGAGGAGCAGCAGAACCGCGCGGTTTCCCCGCCCGGCCGCTCAGGCCGCAGCTCCCCCGGCTCCAGCAGCATCACCTAATCCCCACCCCCGGAACCCACAGGTGAGCGGGGAGGGGGAGCTCGCCCCAAATCCATCGTGGGAGTCTCCGGGAGGGTTTTTTTTTACGGGACAGGGCATGTTTGAATCTTGCAGGACCCCAAAGCTGAGCCGCAAATGCCCTGGAGGGATCTTGGGGGGGTCCCACGTGGCGATCGCCTGGTACCGGTGGGCAGAGGGGCGATACCGAGTTTGGGGGTCCCCGGGAGAGCCGGGGAGGAACGCGAGAGCCCCGGAGAGGGGAGGGCACAGAGGGGCGATCCTGGATCCGGGGGACCCCTGGCAGCATGGAGAGGGGTGGGGAGGCTGGAGATGAGTGGGGTCTGGTCCCCGCGAGGCTGAAAGGGACGGTGACTTTTCGAGCTGCACTTTGGTAGCGGCACCATCAAACACAACGTTTTCAGCCCTTGTTTTCCCCCTCAAACCAGGATTTCCCATTCCCAAACCTTGACCGGATATAGGAAGAGGACAATGCAAGGAAGATGGCCCAGGAGTCCCTGGCAGGTGAGGAGGAAGTCTGTGCCCTTTTCCCCCTTTCTCCTGCTCCATGTCCCAGCCCAGCACAGCCCCTGGCTGCAGGACAACTCCGCTGCTGACGCCATCCTGCCAGGGATGCACTGGGGGGATCTCCTTCCCCTTCCCTTTGGCACAGAGGCAAATCCCGTCTTCTCCTTGTCCTTCCTCCCCCAGACAAGGAGCAGTGGACAGAGACCAGTGGGGACAGATCTTTGCAGCAGAACCTCGTGGAAGAGGCTGTTTTGAGTGGCGCCACAGCTCAGGAATTCAATGGGGAGGAAAAGCCACGGAGATCGCGCACAAAGACGGGCTGCAAACGCAGATCACAGGGATCCAAGGAAGAAAGACCCACCCTGGGCCGAGGAGGCGGCCAGAGTTTGGAACTGAGGGTCCATGAGCAGGTCCACAGTGGGGACAAGCTCTATAGATGTGGGGAATGTGGGAAGAGCTTCAGCCGGAGCTCAACCCTGATCCACCACCGGAGGATACACACTGGAGAAAGGCCCTATGAGTGTGGGGAGTGTGGGAAGAGCTATAGAAACAGCTTTGACCTGATCAACCACCAGAGGAGCCACACTGGAGAAAGGCCCTATGAGTGTGGGGAATGTGGGAAGAGCTTTCAGAGAAGCTCCAGTCTCCTGAAGCATCAGTGGACGCACACAGGCGAGAGGCCCTATGAGTGTCCTGAGGGTGGGAAGAGGTTTCAGAGCAGCTCCAGGCTCCTCAGGCATGAGCGGATTCACACAGATGAGAGGCCCTTCCGCTGCCCTGACTGCGGGAAGGGCTTCAAAAATAACCCTGATCTCATCACCCACCGGCGCATTCACACCGGGGAGAGGCCCTATGAGTGTCCTGAGTGTGGGAAGAGATTCACCCAGAGGTCAAACCTCATTGTCCACAAGAGGACCCACACCGGCGAGAGGCCCTATGAATGTGGGGAATGTGGTAAGAGGTTCAGCCAGAGCTCAGAACTGATGCATCACAGGAGGATGCACTCTGGGGAGCGGCCTTACAAGTGTGGTGAGTGTGGGAAGAGCTTCAGTCGGAGCTCCAACCTCATCATCCACCAGAGGAGCCACACAGGGGAACGGCCCTACGAGTGTGAGGAGTGCCGGAAGAAGTTTCAGACCAGCTCAGATCTCCTCGTACATCAGCGGATTCACACAGATGAGAGGCCCTTCCGCTGCCCCGACTGTGGGAAGGGCTTCAAACTCAACTCCACCCTCATCACCCACCGGCGCATCCACACTGGGGAGAGGCCTTTTGAGTGTCCCCAGTGTGGGAAGGGGTTCAAACAGAGGTCAGCCTTGAACCAACACCAACGGAGCAACCACTAAGGGAAGCCCTGCCAGTACCCTGAGTGCAGGAAGAGCTTTGTGTGCTGCTCCAGCTCCATCGCCCTTGGGAGGATCCACACTGGATGATCCGTGTTGGAAAGGCATCTGGCTGGGGGCTCTGCATCCTCCTGGCTCCCTGTGGGGACCTGGTCACATCTACAAACCAACATCAGAAATCCATTGTGGACAGCAGATTTGTTGACTCCTGACCCCAGAAAAATCTCACTTTTTGCATCTTCTGGTGGCATCAAGAAACACTGGATGTCCTTGGAGGTTTTCTCTAACATAAATCCATTGTTTTAATTCTCTCTGGCCCTTTGGCATCTTCCACATCCAAAATGGGATGGATTGGGGCAAAACCCATGATTCTGGAGACAGTGAGGTGGAAACGCCTCCAAAAATGTTTTTTCCCACCCACCCAAGCATGAGGATGCTCTGCCAGCAGGGACACATAAATCCTTTTTTTGGCTTTGAAATGAAAAGGTTTCTGTTCATCCCTTTGAAACCCCTGAAACAGGGGTAAAAATAAAGACGTTGAACTAAGGCATGGATGGGGACATCTTGGGGACAGTGACATGGGTGGGGCCATGGTGGGACATGGGGGACATGACCATGGATGGAGACATGGCCATGGATGGGGACATGAGGGGACTTGGATGGGGACATGGACATAGATGGAGACACGGCCATGGACGGGAACATGGTAGGACATGCACATGTGAGGACACAGCCCTGGGTGGGGACATGAGGGGACATGAACATGGATGGCGATATGAACTGGGACAGCATCAGTGCCACCAACACCTTCATCTCAGCCATGGCAAAGCACTGCCTGATGCAGTTCCGACCACCACATCAACACTTTCACCACCAGTGTCCCAGCCAAATGTCATGCCCCACCAGGGCAGGATGGGGAACTTGTTCAGTTGGTGACAAGTAGGCCAGACATGAGTGACAGCCACCAGCGAGCTCAGGGGACCCTAACTGCCCCTGGGGACAGGGCAAGGGTCAGTGTCACCCCTGGGGTCATGTGGCCCCCTCCTGGGTGTCACTGGAGGTGTCCTGATGGCAGCATCCCCACAGTTGTGGCGACATTGTCACCAGATGGGTGTCCTGGTGGCATCGTGTCCCCTCCTCTCCATATCTCCCCATCCCCCACCATGGCTCCCTGTCATCCTTCTGTGTGTTCCTGTCTGTCGCCCTGAAAACAGCCTCCTGATCTTGTTCTCATAGTTTTAGCTACTTTCCCAGGAAAGTAACTATGAACTATAAACATAAACACATTCCTTCTAAGAAACTTCTTTGATGGACGTTTCGCATGACCAGTGTGATTGGGAAGGTGGTAACTTAATTATCCAATCCCTGGTCATCATCAAAGATCTATAAATACTGGAGTCAAAAAATAAAGTTTTTTCTTTTTCTTGTCATACCACTGAGACGTGTTCATGTGAATCATTCTGAGTCCTTTAGCGACATCTGTCCTGCCCCATGTCTCTCTGTCCCCGTTGTGAGTCCCTGTCCCCTCCTCCTGTGTCTCTGTCCCCCACCCCCGGCAGGGCCAAAGTCCCCAAGGTCCCAGGGCCGTGTCCTGCAGGGTGTCCCTGTATCCTGCAGGATGTTATCGTGGCTGCTCCTGGATGAGCATCTGTGCCTGCGCCAGCACAGGTGGGGACACGTCAAAACACCCTGTGACACCCCACGACATCCCATGACACCTTTTGTCCTCTGATTTTGGGTCCTTCCCCCCCCCATTTTGGGTCCTTACCCCGTCTTTTGGATTCTTTTCCCCTATTTTTGTCCTTTCTTCCTATTTTATGTCTTTCCCCCCTATTTTGGGTCCATTGCCCCCTATTTTGGATCCTTTCCCCCTATTTTGGATCCTTTCCCTCTTTTCCATTCTTTCCCCCAGTTTTGTCTGCCCTCCCCTTGCTTTTGGCATATTTTTGGGTCCATCCCCACCCTCCAATGCCCTCCCCACCCCTTAGCCCCATTTGCCCCTCCTGCCCTGTCACCCCAGGCTATGTCCCCAGCTGTGTCCCCAACTGCTCCCCTGTGCCACATGGACTATCTTGAGAATGAAAAGTTTGTTAACACAACAAACTATTCCTGGGTGAAAAACAAGTGCTCACCTGTGTGAGCACAGTGGGTCTGTCCCATGAGAATCAGTGAAGAAGATATGTAAACATCTGAGTGTCAGCACATACACACAAAACACCTTCTAACCAATTAATTGAATATCATGGAAACTACTAACCAATGGGAGTTCAACATGAGGTCTGTAAAAATGTACAAAAATGCATTCTGTGAATAAAGAATTGGCTTTTTCTGCATGACGAAATGGAGTTCTGGTTGATTTATTACAACAAGACCACCCCTGCTTTGCGGCACTGATGACAAATTGGCAGGTGGTGATGACAAAAAGTGCAGGTGCCACCTCAGGGATGGTGCAGAGAGGGGTCCTGTGGTGCCATCATGCCCCCACGCTGAGTGAATGACAAAGGGGGGATCAGGGGAGTCCTCAGGGTGCCGGGAAGGAAGTGCAACAGGGGAAATGCGTCCGGTCCCACACCTGGGACACGGGTGGCAGGGCGCTTGTCTCCCTGTCCCCCTGGCACCCTATCCCCGGTCCATTGTGTGGGGACTGCCTGGGTGGGCAGGAGAACCCAAAGAATTGGGACTCCTGGGGTGGGCAGCCAAAAAATTGGGACACGTGAATGGGCAGATTTGGGACTCCAAATATTGGGGACCCCTCAAAGTGGGAATGCCAGGTTGGGGATGTCCACCCCACCACGCCCAAGTCCAGTCCCTGGACTCCCCAAAGTGACTCCTCCCATTTCACCCCCACCCCCCACGCCCATGCAGAGACCCTCAAAATGCCTCCCCCAACCCCAGAACCCCAAATCCAGCCCCAAAAATTTCTCGTCCCATCCTACTACTCTCAAAGCCAGCCCCTGGACCTCCCAAAATGGCCTCTCCCCATCCCACCACTCCCTAAATCCAGCCCCTGAGCCCCCCAAGCTCAACTCTCCCACACCACACATGGAGGTGGAAGCCAGGCCCGGCCACCCCCGGGCCCCCACCCTACTGAAGACCTACAAGTGGAGCACCACGATCACTGCCACCCCCAGAGGGGACCCCAAAAGGAGCGGGGGGGTCCCCAGGGAGCTGTCGCTGGGCATGGCTGCAGGGCTTGAAACACTCCTAGAGCCACCCCAACACTGACAGCGACAGGGGTGGTGACAGAGGTGTCCCCAAGGCCAGTGAGCACTGGTCACTGTTCCAGACAGTGTTTTCCACCCCCTCCAAGGTGTCCAAGGAGCCACGGGGACCCGAGGGGACATGAGGCCACCCCTGCAGCAGTACCTGCACCACTGGGCAGGAGGAGGGGACATGGCGACAGCAGAGCCAGGGCAGAGCTGGGGACATAGGATGGGGCAGGTGAGGGGGCTACAGGGGTGGGAGAGTAGGGGGTGAGGGGTGGGGGTAATTTTGGGGTGATGGGTGGGGGGTGATGGATTTTGGAATGATTATGATGGGTGAGGGATGATGATGGGTGGGTGGAGATGGGAATGATTTTGGGGGTAATGGGTGGGGGGTTATGGGTTGTAGGGTGGGGGCAATTTTGGGGTGATGGGTGTGGGGTGATGACTTTTGGGGTGATGATGATGATGGGGTGATGGGTTATGGGGTGTGGGGTGGGAGGTGCTGTCCTGGCACAGCCACTCCCACAGGGGTGCCCTATCCCCACTGTCCCCAGGGGCTGTTCCCATGCGTCCCCATGGTGGGGCTGGCACTGACAGTGGCACTGGGACCTGGCCAAACCTGCTTGGCACGGGCGAAACCACCCATGCGTATGTATGGAGCCAGCCTGGCCTGGCCCCACACGTGGTCTGTCACTGTCACTGCCACCAGCATTGCCACCCCATGGATATTGAGAAACCGCCAGCTTATTCACCAGTCTTCACAGAAGTAATCATGAACACCGTTTATTTCTATCTTTAGCACACCTTTTATAGGGTTCTACAGGGTCTGCGGGCAGAGCAAACTACTATTGGCTAACACAGTTTACATTTTTTCTCCTACACACAGGGATATTGTTTTGCTTTACTCTCTCTTCTGCATGAAGGTTTCAAGGACTTTAGCCTTTAATATCATGACTTATTTCAAAGGCTGGTTTGTGCAGACAGGCCTTTACTAATATATAAAATATATCAACACATGGACAAGTGTCCCCTGGCACTGCCACGCTCGTGCTGGCATCTCCATGAGCATCCCAGCACTGGCAGCAGCACCTCCACGACCACATGTCCTGTGGTGTCATCACACCCATGAGGGCACTTCCATGGCCACCTTTCCCCCATCCTGGCACCCCTGGTGGCATGGCCAGGCCACATGTCTCCCATGATTGCCACACCCCCATGGGTGCACCCACGGGAGCACCCACACACTGTCCTCTCCCCTCCGATGTCTGGGGATGGTCACGGCCCCTGCTGAGCTGCCCTGTAAATGGCCCCTCTAATAGCAGCCAGTAAGGAAGGGCATGAAATTGTTACAGTGACACCTGCATGCAGTTTATTTCTTTAATCCAAAGAAGTTAAGAAATATTGTAGGCGATGTACTTAGGAGGAGTGAAATGTTTGTGTTCACCAGGCTGGCACAGCTTTTTTCTGGAGTGAAAGCTGAGTGCTGGGTGCTGAAGTAATTTCAGAGAAACTCAGAATGTGCTGAGTTGGAAGAGACCCATCAGGATCATTGAGTCCAACTCTTGCCCTGCACAGAACACTACAATTCCACCATGGGCCTGAGAGCATTGTCCAAGTGTTTCTTGTCCCAAGACAGACTTGGGGTTGGGACCACTTCCCTGGGGACCCTGTTCCAGTGCACAACCCAGCTCCAGGTGAAAAAGTTTTTCCTGATATTCAACCTAACCCTCCCTGGACTCAGCTCCAGCCGTTTCCTCAAGTCCTGTCACTGATCATGAGAGTGAAGAGATTGGTATTGGCCCCTGCATTCAGGAAGATGTTGAGAGCTCCGTGATGTCTGACCTGAGTCTTCTCCAGCTGAACAAACTAAGTGTCCTCAGCTGTTCCTCACAGAGCCCCTCCAGACCCTTCCCCATCCTTGTGACCTCCTCTGGACACTCTGCAATGGCTTTATGTCTTTTCTATATTGTGGTGTCACTCAAGGTGAGGCCACCCCAGTGCAGAGCAGAGTGTGACAGTGCCCTCCCTGGCCCGGCTGCTGATGTTGGGCCTGGTGCCCCAGGACATGGTGGCACTTCAGACTGCCAGGGTATTGCTGACTCATGTTCAACTTGCCCTTGGCCGGGACCCCCAGGTCTCTCCCCACAGCTGCTCTCCAGCCTCTCCTTCCCCAGTCCATACACCAAGCCAGCAGTGCCCCATCCCAGGGGCAGAATCTGACCCTTCCCTTGTTAAATTCTACACAGCTGGTGACTGCCCATCTCTGTGAGTTCTCTCTGCAGAGCCTCTCTGGCCTCCAGGCAGTTGACAGCTCCTCCCAATAAATTTACTGATTATCCC